CTAGATTCTCTATTATGATAATCTATAATAATCTATTATGTAATTCACTTCTGAATAACATTAGTTCAGTGACTGAATCTTGCTGTGATATAATCAGGAGTGAATAATAATAGGTCTATTAGTATTCACTCCTGATTATATCACAGCAAGGAGCATGCGATATCTAAAGCATCGTGATGTTTTTTCTCCCCTTCCCATATTATCGAATAAAAAAAATAGGAAAAGTGAAGCAGGCTTTTTGAAATATGAACCAGTCCATATAATATAAACAAAATTAGGTGACTATTCGCACGGGAACTGTAAACGCATTTCAATTGCATCCCTTGAACAAAGTGAACCAGTTGGTATAGGTTTGTTACAAAAAAATAACTAAAACAAATGGAAACAACAAATCTGTTATTTATATCTACCGTGACATTGAACTTTCAAACAATGAATGCATGGATCGAGTTATCAATCTATCTAAGCACCTTACCCATGCATGCATAGCATCACGTTTAGATTGATTTTATGACGCTATTGCGAACAATTAATGTAGTATTTGCATACATGGCTCAGAACTGAGTCTACGGGGAGGTCTACTGGGTACTGGAACGATCAATGGCGGTAAACCTTTGCTGTATATTCATTACCAGGAGTAAATAATCACAAATTGATTAATTTTTATTTGCGATTATTTACTCCTGCTATTGCCGATTTAAACACGTGTAAGTTGTACTTCTAGAGAATTCGTATTTGCGCCAGAGCAAATATGTAAATATGCTGCTTGCGCGCCTATTGCGCGCTCTTCTGATGCTTCTTCGTGATCGTACACTTTCGTGTAGGTGTACCTACCACCACAACGCGTGGCTCTAACCACTACTGTACGTCGCGAATATTATCCAGGCAATTACGAAGCAAATTAGAAAGATGACAAACAGCAGCCTGTCGATGACTTTCGCGACTTGTTTCCACTCGTTGTGAATCGCAGCGTACGCGTCCCGCTCGGCCCGGTGTGCTTCGTCCATGTTGTCGGCTGCGGTTTCGTCTGCTAGCTGTCGGTTGGCGTGCGTGCGGCCCGACGTCGCCTTGGTGTCGACAAACAGTAGGCGACTGAGAACTTGCAGGAACAGCGAGCGTATCCAGGCAGGCATCGAGCCGAATACGATGTGGTGATGCACGTTGAGGGAGCCGATCGAGAAGATGAGTGACACGACCAGCATGACGAACGTAAAGTCGTACATGGTTACTGTGAAGTAACAAATACACCGCGATGATGTGTTCTGCGTGTCGGTATATTTCACATGTGTTATGGGCAAAGATATATATACGCAAGAGCTTCTCGCAGGTCGACTGAGTATTCGACACAAGTACTCGTGATGATCTACGAATGAATTCGTCCGTCAACATGCCTTCGGTGTACGTATATGCGTGTACGCGCGTGCGCGTGTAATTTCGTGCGCTCGTGCGTGCGACTCGCGTTCGCGTTCGCGCGTGACTGGGAGCAAGCAAGTGTATGCGTGCGTGCGTGCGTGTGTGTGTGTGTGTGTGTTGTGTTTGTGTGTGTGTTGTGTTTGTGTGTGTGTGTTTGTTTGTGTGTGTGTGTGTGTGTGTGTGTGTGTGTGTGTGTGTGTGTGTGTGTGTGTGTGTGTGTGTGTGTGTGTGTGTGTGTGTGTGTGTGTGTGTGTGTGTGTGTGTGTGTGTGTAGGGCCTACGTGTGCACTTGTCTGTACGTATATATATATATCATATATATATATACATATCTTATCTCGCGCGTTTAATTCCGTACGTTTTCGAAATTTCAGGTGTAACAACACATGGTGACTACGAACGCAAGCCGGATATGAAACCTTCCCGTATATCTGCCGATTCATTGCAGTAAAACAGCAAGCAACAAACATCAACACACAGCAGCAACACAACAGAAACACGGCAGCAAACAATACACAGCGTGGGCGCAGTGTATCTCATGCAGTCAATCTCAGACAATCTCAGTCAATCTCAGTCAATCTCAGTCAATCTCAGTCAATTTCGTTGTCTCGCGGCAATGAACACATCTCGCAACGAGCAACTATATTACTATATGAATATAAAGTTTATCTCAGTTCATGTGAACTATAGAGATCCGATGAAATTATTCAACTACATACTTACTAACATATATGATTATATTATATATATATTATTATTATATATTATATGTTATTATATATTATATATATTATTATAAATACTTACCAATAAAGGGCGCCGTCGATCCGTACTTAGTTGGCAGCATCTGCGACATGTCTGAGTTGAGAATCACCAGCACGACGAGGTTCAGCATGCCCGTCGTCAGCCTCTCCTTCGCGTCGAGCGGCAGCCAGAACGTCGCCAGCGTGACGACCTCGACGACGACGCACGGCAGAATCACGGCGTACACGTACGGCGCCGCCAGACGGCGCAGCGTCAGCGTAAAGCTGGCGTCCATGTACGGCTCGGGGCAGCACGGGTAGTAGACGGTGCTGATGCGACCGTCGGCGCCGACGACTTCCCACTCGCTATGCGGCACGTAGTCGGTCATGTCGACGGACGGCTCGTCGCCGCTGAATGGATGGATCTCGACCAGATTTCCGTTGTACGTCCAAGAGCCGAACTTGAGCGTGCACGCCTGCGTGTCGTACGGGAAGTATCGCCAGTTCATTGGACAGAAGCTACTGAACAGCGCCGGTGGAACCCAGAGCACCCTACCGTCGGACATTATGAGAACTTTCACGGTGCTAGAAAAGTGTTCGAAGTCGGCACGGGCGCTGGAAGATAGATATACAGGACAAGTATGCAAATTTATAATGATTCTTTGACCGACAATGTATATGTTGGCGGGTGTATACATGTGTGTGCGTGCGTGCGTGCGTGCGTGCGTGCGTGTGTGTGTGGGTGTGTGCGCGTGGTGCGTGCGTGTATGTGCGTATATGCGTGCGTGCATGGGTGCGTGCGTGCGTGCGTGCGTGCGCGTGCGTTCGTGTGTATCATGTATGTATGTATGTATGTATACGTATACACGTAAATGCCAATGCGTCATTTACTAATAAATTACGTATATTGAAATAAAAAAGGTAAAAAGTGGTTCATACTTACGTGTTGTAAAGATAGATATCCGGCTTCCATATTAGCGAACTAGGAACACGTATCATTGTTATGTTGCCATAGTCACTAGGCGTCCAGGTCAGATTTCTATCGTTCCACGACTACGATATTAGATAAAAGATATTATTATTCGAGAGAACGTTCATTATTCACTCCCATTCAACGGTTGGGTTGTGAAGAGGTTATGACCTAGTATGACAAAACTAAAAAAGCTCATTTCCGGCATACCGTGCATACCCTGCAACATATCGTATCAAAGGTATTTCCGAACTCATTGATTAAGATGATACGCAACGCATTACATCTTCGATATGATTTCAACATATATATATAATTAGACAAGTTTTTCGTCCTATTGGAACTTGTTATTTCTACTGAGGAATGAATTCGTGAGTACCCTGATGAATCTTTTTATCGTTTGTATAAGAAAAATATTAAATTAACATGGATTTGAATAGAACCTCATCAAGTGAACTTACCATACGAAACCAGGTATTAGTATGTAAAACCTGGAGCTCTTCATCCTGATAACAAACAAGCTATAGGTTACAAAAGCTTACAATGGCCGTGCGTTTACAAGTGTGTTTTTGAAGTCGCATATTTCGCTAGCTTAATTGTCTATTTTTGATATATATATATATAATATTACAATATTAATGTTATTATGATGTGGCAGCCATACATTCTATTTATTATATAAGATTGCACAGTTTAGTGTATCTACTTGATGTTCAAACATAGACGTGGTCACGTCGCTGAGCTAAATAACCCTTGTGGAGCGGTGATTGGACCAGAAACGAGTGAGTCATGCGATGCTTTAGAAAAATTTAAGCAGTGTGTCCTAACTGTCAGTGTCATCGGGAGCCAGTGAGAATATTGTGTACAACGTCGCTTCAAGCTCGGCAATTTTTTATCGTTTTTTAGAAAAAAAATTGGAAAAAATCTAATAAGATGTTTGAAATTAAAGACATTTAATTTGAACTCCAGGCGGAAGCAAATTAAGAATTATGGTACGCTTTACTGTGTCGGTAATATTTACAGTACTATATAAAAAGTACAGTTAATTTTCTGTTTTATAAATGTTGGAGATAACGTTGAGAATGTAGTTGAAGTTTGAGATTTTTGGTATGTTTTTGTTTTCGTTCAGCTCTTCTAATATATAAATGGTATATCCCCATGAAAAATAATAGCAATCTAGTAGTAATATATTATATTACCGTTATTAGATATACGTTGGCAAACCATACGTCTACCAAACCATAGCTACCGTCATTACATACACGCATGACCGTCGCACGTAAGAATAATGCATAGTTACAAGTTTCACGATGTTGATCAGTGCCATTCCTAAGTATAGCTTCAGAACGACGGAATCATTTGCCACTGGTCGCACGTGAATGTTATAATTCCTCCGTTCAAAGAGTTCTGTATGGAGTTCATTTTCGCCTTTCGATGCATTTCCTGTATTTGTAAGCGCAAATTAGCAGATGGAAGATGGATTTGAAATTATTATTCCACAATATTAGCATGTTTACCTCGGTCGCCTCAACGCACCTGCGTAACTACTCGGTAAACAACAGTAATGCTATCAGGAAAATCCCCTTGTACTTCGATTAATGTAGTCTTATTATTATTACTTCGACAAATATAGCATTAGAACGTCATACTTATAACATTTCTCGGTGAATATGCTTACCATTTGTCGGAGATGTTACCGCACCGGCACAGTTTCCAAATTGATTACACAGCAGACAGACGGCGAAAGGCAGCAAGAAATTATTTAATGTCATTGTGACTAGCAGCCGAGGTCATGCAAATTTAACCGTTTTTACAACTCCAATGACGACCAAACTGTTATTGATTGCGACGAGGGCTCGGCAACGTTGTTACTTCATCTAGAATGCTAACTGCACACGTCTAACCGGTGGCGTCGTCGACAAACGAAATATGATGGTTAGACTTAAGGCCGGCACTTCCGGCAGAATGTCATGCAAAGCTATATCACGCGGAGGGCGAGCCACAGGAAACTCATATCTGTTAGCCTATCTAGCGCACCCTGAACCGATTTAACGTCGTCGTGTCTCGACGAGCGAACGAGCGAACGAACGAACGAGCGAACGAACGAATGAGCGAACGAGCGAACGAACGAACGAACGAACGAACGAGCGAACGAACGAACGAACGAGCGAACGAGCTCCGAACCGATTTAGGTGTATAGTATATTGTTATGATGGTTACACACACACACACACACACACACACGCACACATACACACACGCACACACACACACACGCACACACACACACCACACACACGCACACACACACACACACACACACACACACACACACACACACACACACACACAC